GCGTTAGCTGTCACGCCATCACAAGTCATCTTGCTGGAAAACCTTTCACCCTCTTCAGTGAGCTTCAAAGTAGACCCTAAAAACCAATTATGAAACCTGTCTACTTTGGCAATCCTCAGGTGGCAACATGCTTTCTCATGTGAATTAGTTTGGGTTTGGCCAATAGTGCCATGGTACTCAAAGTAAATTCAGTATGCTTTAGCAAGAAGAGCTGACACAATGCCAGTTCAGACCACTTTGAATGCTATTCATGCATGTGCGTCAAGACAGTGAAAGGATAGAAAACTGCTGTGAAGTTTTGAGCTAAATGTTTGCAATAAAAACTCAAACATGTTTTAGGGATTACATTTCCTTAGTGAATCTGCAGGTAACTAACAGAATAGTATGGATTAAAAGCTGAATTGGTTTTGACTTTCAACTGAAAATTCTGTGTGTTCAACCACAAACTCATTACTACAAGATGGGGAGGGAAAAGGATTACGGTTTTCAATAAAAAAAAACAAAAAAAAAACAAAAAAAAACCTACAGAAGTGAACCCATTTTTCTTTGTTTACAGTTCTCTGTGTATAAAACTATATTTTCACCCTTTTTAAATCCAACCATTACAAATACTTGCCCTTCGAAGCAAGGAATTATCTTCCGTTTCCAAAAAGTCATCATGTACTGTTGGTAGGGCAAAACAGCTGCAACTAACTATCCTAACAGCAACTGTGCTACTGTTGTGTACAGTCATGCCCAGCAGATAAATAAGCCCAAGCTGCATCTCATCGTGTGTATCTCTTGATCAACAAAGACCCACAACTTCAGTCATTACAGACAGAGCAATCAAAACATTTACAGTATCACATGCCCTGTAGACTACACAGGCTGTTTCCTCACACATTACCCAATGTCTACACCATCTGGATTCTTTTTACTTAAAATTAGAGAATTAAACTCCCTACCAATGACTTTTACCAAGGGAAATTTGTGACCACCTCACTTTTTCAACTTTGATGAAGAGTTAGAAGAAATAGATACATTTTTTTTTAATGTGTATGCACATACACACACACGAACTTGCACATATTTATTCGTTCATGTTGTTTGATGTAGCCATTGACAGAAGGCAGTGAAGTATTACAGCAGCCAGGTGTTGACCACTTGAGTGGCCAAGTTCCATTCTCTAATTATTGTTTTTAATGTTTTCTTCCCTTTTCTTGAAATAAATAAAATAGCACATGAGATAAAGAATATATAAAGCCTCACTGAACACAGGACATGGCAATCTTACCACTCAGTGGAGCAATAAGTTTGAGTAGGGGAGACTTCATGATTGAAACACAGACGTAGGATCTCTAGGCCAAGAAATTAATTACCTAAGGAATAGACAAGGCCTTTGCAGATTTGGATGTACAACAGACACAAGCACTGAAAATGAAGTGGTGAGGGGAATAAAAAATTCCATTTCATAACTGTTGCTTTAGCTTATTTTCTGTGGGCAGTAAAGCTCAATACCCAAACAAGACCCATTCCAGAAAATTTAATCAGATAAAACCTACTCAGCTTCCTTTTCTTGACATCACATTTTAAAAATATGAATTCTAAAAATATGAATTCAAAAGAATTTAGAAAGTTTCAGTATGAACACTAGACAGCACTTCACTACTGGAAATTATTTACAAGGAAAAGAATTCCAAATATCAAAGCAGTTTAGGATTTTGTAAAGACAAACTATCTCACTACTTGAGAAGCTCAATTCTTCCAGGTATATGAGCTTCCTATAGATATCATTCATTTCAGAATGAATTTTCAGGATTTTGTAAGACTACTACTCTCCAAGTGCCTAATGCAAGAATATAATTTAATCCTTCACATGCATTACTTACATTACCAGAAAGCACCAAGGTTGACTTCCAAGACTGAGAATTGATATAATCATGAAGTAGCTAATCCAAGTGAAAGTTAAATTCACAAATTCTGTTCTCACTAGTAAAAGCAAAAATTAAGTGTCTCAACACACTTGCTTTTCAGTAGCTTAATTAGGGATTGCTAATCAATGACTCAATTGTATCATGAACCAACCAAAACCACAGGAACCTTCCTCTAAAGCTAACAAAAACCAAAGAGGAACAATGAGGAAGAACCAGCTCCCCTCTTTGGTTGTGACAACATAAAGACCAAAAACTTTACAGCGTAAGAAATACTTAGAAATTTCAGCAGTCTCTTGAGAATGCTTCTCCCCTCCACACAGCCACAACCAGATGATGGAAATTCACAACTCCACACACCCCAGCAGCAGTCAGCTGCTTTTAGCTCTCCCTTGAAACTGCAAGACAGTTTGTAAGAAGGCCTGGAAACAGCTGTGGTCTCCACAGGTCTAAGACTGATTCAGTCAGCAAGGTTGAAAAACAAGAACTCATAATTCTTTCATTTGTTCTAGTTAAATACTATATGTACATTTCCCTTCTACAGATAAGAGAATGTTCACTGTAGATTGCCATCCTCATACTAGCAAATATTCTCAAATACAAGTGAAAAGCATTTGACTGTTTCACTAAGCATGGTGAGGGGCAGAGGAGACACTGAGTTTAAGCGCTTCAGCAGCCAAGTGCGGCTTCCTGAAATAATTAGGATGGCACATTACACATCAATAAACTCTCACACTCTATAAACCTGCTATAAAAAGCCTCTAGCATCAGAGTCTCAGCTGCTTCTGAATCTTTCTTCAAGCAAATACACCTTCCCTGTTCTTATTTTTATAGCTTTCCATAACACGATTGCATTTGATCATAAAAATAACGGGATTAATCTGTATCTCTCTCCGCTGCTTCTGAGGAAACTGATCTGGGACTGCACCAAGCAGTCTCCACACTGCCTCCATGCTACCATCTTCGCTCAGAATCCTTTTTCCTTTTGATACTGCCTCATGTGAGATCAGAAAAGCCTCATCATCCTTCTTCAGAATGAAACAAAGAATATTGCCAGTTTCTCACTAAAGAAATAAAAACTTCTCTCTTTTTTTTTCCTCCCTCAAACTGAATATACCTGTACTTGTCCACTCATCTTTTAGTTAAAAATACCCATGGCTCTCTTAAGCCATTCTGTCTCAAAAAATTGACCATTTTGGTAACAATTATGCTATAGCATACTTTTTAAAAAAGACATTAAATAAGTCAAAACCCTTTTTCCCCCTTCCTTCTTCAGTTTTCAAGTTGATTTTGTTTGAAGATTTCAGATACATTTTTATGCTAATTGTTAATGTTTATATATACCCTATATATATATATATATATACCTGTATAGGGTACTTAATTCAACTTTTTCACCATGACACCTTGGACTAAGGGAGCAAAAGATGGCTTTTTCAGCAAGAAAGCAAAAGCAAAAATCTCAGGGTAACAGATGAACTTGGGATCCTTTGGTTAACAACATGTTAGGAAGGAGCCTTCTGCACAGCAATCACCTTTGAGCAAATCTGTAAGTAGAAGAGATCTACATTTATGATAAAAAGCGCAGAGAATGTTTAAACTTCTTGTTTGAAGTGTGATAAGTTAAAAATGTCTACCTAAATTTCAGGGAAAAAAGAATCTACAAAGTCATTTCTTTGCAACAAGTTGATCAGTTCATCACACTGAGCAAATAATGGCATGTTTAATTATTGTAGGAATATTCTAGAAGGGTTAATGTTATATGTGACACTACAAGGGTTTTGATTAACCAGAAATTGTTTGGTAGAGTATATATGTCGTTTGCCTTAAGTCTTTCTGATTTTCAGAGATAAACTAAACCTATCTCCGTCCCTGCCAAAGGCTGACATTATGAACTGGAGAACAGTAATCTATATTATTTTATTAGTAAGTTTTACTATAGTCAGAGCCCTGCCAAGAAGTTATCGGGACACAGGTAAGAACATACCTCATGTTTTTATTCTGTTCTTTCATATAATACTGATGACTGCATCTTAGCATGCATGGTTATTTAGTATTGTTTTATCACTGCTAGTTCTACACTGGAGTTCTCTTGTAAGTGAAAGGTATGCAACAGAACTGTAGCTGTATAATTCCAGCTCTGTGATCAGCCTTAAAAATATCACTTCCTAATGTCTTGAGAGCCCATGAGCTGCATGATACAGGCTAGTCCATGCAAAGAGGATGCCCACTAAAAGGCAATTTAATCTATAGGAGTGTGGTTATTCCACTAAATTTCAAGTATTCCAAAACCTGTTGAAGCAAAGACTGCAAGTTGTTCTAGCATCCATACATAGTCCATGGGAGAAAGATATTTAAGTAAAGAAGAGGATGTGACATCCAGCTAGTTATTCAGTGTAGCTGTGTCAGGAAATTGCTCTTTATTATTCTTTGGATAAGTCTTACTCTCCATTAACCGCTGAAGTAGCCTATGATGACTGCATTTGGCACTAAGTTTTAAGTCGCAAAAAAGAGAAAACTGAAATCCTCCCACAGTGTGCAGGTCAAATGAGTCTTTCACATTATATATTTCTATCATTGGTCAAATGTTCTCATCTTTAGAACTTTCAAATGCACTAACAACTGCTGTTTTTCCTATTCATCTTTAATCATCATTCCAACTGACATTTCCTCATTACTTAGGGAAACTGGGTTAACTCTTAGTTTTTGCCTGATTCTTTTATACTGCTCTCCGAACTACTGACATGGGTGTGAGATAGAACCATCCTGATTAGGGAAGATGCTCCTAATTTCAAAATTACTCTCTGAAAGTATTCTCTAGGAAACAAGAAACACAAGAAACAGTAGGCTTTAGGCTTGGCCATTAATAAAAGATCCACTGGCAAAGGAAAATATTTGCATATAATCTTCAGACAAATTGGACACATTCGTGTTCCACAGGGCCAGTTAATAGAGAAGGATGAAGTTCTGTGATTTTTTGTTCACCAAGGTGGTCTTCAATTTACTGCGTATTTTCTACACAGGGAAGCTTTCACCTGCAGCCAAATGATCATCAAGTACACTTTTAAATAGCTAAGACAAGTCAACAAATGGTTTCTAAGACGTTTATTTAATCACATGATGTGTACCATCATAGCTGAACACCTTCTAAGTTTGATTGTATCTCCCTTCTGCAAAGCATGAAATAGGCAGGGAAATTACATTTTAGCTCAAAAACAAATTGTTTCCCACCTTCAAGTCAAATAGATAGCATTGCCTCATGCCCTCCACCTTAGTAATAGTACTACTGGCACTGCATTCTGTTTTTCTGAAACTCCTGTATATTTAAAAAAGAAAAGTATTTGATGAAGCATTTGAAACATATTCTATTCAAACGCTAATTATCTTGTTTTTCAGAGGAAAAAAACAGCATCAGCCAACGGTTTTCTCAGCTGCAAGAGAACAATTTTAAAGCCATGTAAGTTGTCTGGGTAAAGAATCTACTTGCAAATTTGCTGCCTGTGAACATTCCTATGGCATTTTGTGTCATTTGGAGATGAGCACGCAATGCAAGTTGCACACTCCCTGTTCCATCAGCCTGAGCGAATTGGTGATAGAAGCTCTCTTACTGTCTCGTGCAAAAAGTAATACAGTTATTTTTATTTTTTAGATAGACAGAAGCATTCTTAATGATCTCCATTCTTCTTATAGAGCCATGATCATGTTTGCGCAGTACGTGCAAGGAAACACATTTGGCCAAGTGGTTAAAATGGCTGAAGCTGTAACAGACTTTGCCAAAAGGTGCACTGATGTAGACAGAGACAATCCAAACTGTCAGAAGCCTTTGGTAAGCAAGCTTGTACTTTTAATGCAGTACAGATTTTCAGAAGTGACATAATTTCAGGGTACTGGTATGCATTTTTCCAGCAGGAGTAAGATATTAGGAGACATGGTTTACTTGTGTGTGAATGTTTGCTCTTATTGACTCTTTCCTTCTCCATGCTCCCACCTAAAAGACATCTCAAGATGAGCAAAGGATGACAAAGTCCTTCATAGAAAATAACACAGTAGCTTTTGAAATCCTTGACCTCTTAAAACATTTGTAAACTTGTGCTTTTATGTCTATCATAACAGAACTCAGTAGAAGTCAGAATAGATATTTCTAGCAACTATGATGCTCATAGGAGCTTTCTCCACTCCATTAACTCACATTGCTAGTATTCAGTGGAGTCCACTTCAATGCACTGTCAGAGATCAGCAGATTGAATCATGGAAAATGGATATCAGTCTGTTACAACTCCTGTATTTGTTAAGCAAGGGGCTGATGCAAATCCTGAATTAAAACAATTCCCAGCTGAAGCATGACTGACAGCAAACCTGAGCATTGCTATGTGATGAACAAGGAACCTGAGAACTGTTGTTACACAAACCTGAGACTTGTCACTACACACTGATTTTAATTAGAAAAGAATATGGATCCCGTTGAGATATACAAATCAAACAATCATCTTGACTCTAGTCAAGAAATGAGGGTCTGAATGTTTTAAGTTCAGTGGAAGCTGAACAATATGTTTGAAAACTGTCTCATAATAAAGTCTATCTTGGCATAATAGTAGGTACCAGAAATTGACATATGTTTTAGAAGTCACTCTGACGCTGCAGGCAAAGCAGCGGTAGTAAAGAGAGAAACTATACATTTACACAAATTAGGGCTTTTTGGGTTAAAAAGTCTCCTCAGAAAACTCATGGGGGTGAAATAGAATCCTCACACACATTAGCTTTTTTTCTAATTTTTCACAGGACAGGATCTTCCTCAACACTATATGCCAGGAGGACAATCTTCCTGGATTTACTGACTGCTGTGCTAAAAAGGACCCTGAAAGAAATGATTGCTTCCTCTCCCTTAAAAATTCATCAAAAGGATTCATTTCTCCTTTTGAAAGGCCAAATGCTGAAGTTGCCTGCAAAAATTATTCAGAGCATCGCCATTCATTACCAGGATAGTAAGTAAATGACTCATAGATTTGTTGTCTGCATATAGTGGTTACGAGCCTTGAGACCACAAATGCAGTATCAACCAAAAAGTTCAATGAGACTTGCTGTAGAGCCATCCTCTTTTTTCTTCCAAATGATAAATATTTGAATAATTCATCCAGGTCTATTTCTCATCATGTGAAACCTGTTCTACCAAAGCCTACTTTGAATATAGGTCCAAACAAATAAAAAATAAAACAATCTGATATATCTCATTGTAGTTTAAATAAAGCATTCACCTGAAATACTAGGGATTTGTCTTTAGTCCTTAAAAGCCAAGCAGATGTTCCGCTGCCTCTAGACCAGAACTGGAAGGATCTCAGCCTTTAATTTCCAGAAAAATGTCAGAATTCTTCCAAGACACACTGCATCATACAGCTTGTTGTTTTGCTACAATACCACTGCAGCTCCCTACGTTTCAAGGCTTAATCTGATATTAAAAACATTTATCTCTGTTTTAGTTTTATCTATGAGGTTTCCAGAAGGCATCCTTTCCTCTATGCCCCTACAATCCTTTCTGTTGCTATCCATTATGATGAGATGATGAAGGACTGCTGCAGAAGTGCTGAAGACTCCACTCATAACCTGGAGGAATGCTTTCGGAGACAGGTATTACAAAGTGAGGTTTGGTTTTGTAGCATGGGACCAATGGCTTTCCCATAACAAAACAAATGCTCAAACAGAGCTATTGATTATTTCTGTTTCAGCCTCTGTATCTGATGTTAGAATTCACCCTGCTAAGGACAGGGTGAAATATGACTTGAACTCTACTTAACTACTTAAATCAGTAGTTTTACCACAAAGCATTTCCTTGGCTTTCTTCCATTTTCACAGTCTGTACTGTCTTTCTACTAGGCCCCAAAGGTGGTGAAGCCCATCAGAGAAGATGGCCTGAGGCAGGAACACACATGTGGAATCCTGAAGAAGTTTGGAGAACGGACCATAAAGGCTCTGTGAGTCTTCCTGATGCTCACAAAACAAGGCTTTGGCTTCTTTGCTTCAGCAGTAGACTGGCCACACTCATTGTTAAGATGCAATATGTTGCTTGTTCCAGGGCTTCCTGGCTGCTTCACTGTAGTCCCTTAGGCATACGCATTTTGAAATACATTGTGGATGTCAAATGTCAGCTGAAAGCAGATCTTCACCTGCATGCAATAAAATGGATGTGAATATTGCAACATCGTCTTTCTGTGCAGGCCATCAGTAGCACCTAACAAGGCAAATGGACTAGTACAAATTGATGCATGACAGTAGTCACTGTTTTCTCTTGGTGATTTAATGTTTACGAGCCAAATACAGTTTAGCTCATATAAGACACAAGATTGTTATTGTAATTTCACATTCATCTACCACATTTCTGTTTTCTCACACTAAATTTCACCGGAGATCCTAAGATAACTCTGAATATCTCAGCCTTTGGCTTCAATTGGCATTTTTTTTATCAATGTCAGTGACAGCAGTAACAGGCCATTTCTGACCAGTTTGCATACAGCCCTCTACAGACAAGTAATGGAAGCTATCACAGTTTCACACTGAGAATATTAGCAATAACTATTTTTCTTCATTTTAGGAAACTTGTGCAGATAAGCCAGAAATTCCCTAAAGCTGATTTTTTTACTGTTACCAAACTTGTGTCGGATATTGCTAACATGCACAAAGACTGCTGTCGTGGAGATATGCTGGAGTGTATGCGTGATAGGGTAAAACATTTAATATTTATGTACATTTGCAGAAATTATATGCCTTTCCTTCTTGTTTTCAGATTTTTTTTTCCTTCTGTGTTGTACCGTTTTCTCTAGAGATTAATTTTTCAGACTAAAATCATGGTTGATTATCCCAGTTTACTTTTTTCTGTCATGAAGTCTTTAAAAAAAGTCAGCAAATCAACTTTGTGACTAAAACGGTCTAATTCTGTTCTAGGGAATCCTGTTGCAGCTTCTAGCTGTGCCATATATTTTCTGTTCAGTTTTCAGCAAAACATGTATCTGCCTTTCCTCTGTTCTCTCTGCTTTTCTAACACACCAAACCCATCTATCTCACTACTTGTCTGTGATGCCTAGCTAGATAACTAACTTCTCTGTTTAGGTGGTTATCTGGAACCTATCAAATGGAAAGCAAAAGGCTTCAGCAGGTAGAGTAACATGACTTCTGTCCTGTTCTGCCATATGACTACTGTACAGCAGTCTGTACAGCTGACTGCTTTCAGCTCCTTCTCCCCTTTGAGTGTCCCCTTCTCTGGTTGTAAAATGGAGATAACAGTGCTAATAAAAAAAATTAAAAATTAAAAAAAGACCAAAATCTTATTAAACTTCCTTTGTTTGCTTTTCAGGAAGAAATTCTACACTATGTCTGCACTAACCAAGACATCATATCAAGTAAAATTAAAAAGTGCTGTGAAAAGCCACTGCTCCAAAGAACTGAATGCATTGTTAATGCAGAAAATGATGACAAACCTGCAAACTTGTCTCCCCAGGTTAGGGAGTTTATAGAAGACAAAGGAATATGTGAACGCTTTGCTCAGGAAAAAGATACCCACTTAGCCAGGTAACATGCATCTTCCTCCAGTCTTCAATTTTGCTGTTCTACTACTTGAGTTACAAGATGGCAGTTTGAAAGATAAAGATCAGCTCATTTAGCCTTGGATTTGTCCGCACTCTGAGCATGTGGGCATGTAGGAACTGCACAAGGTTGTCTTGTATGTATGGAATGGGTATGGAATGAGAACAAATGCTGAACAAGACACAATTATTTCAGAGAAAACTGAGGAAATGCATGTGAAATTTAGGTACTATCAGTTCTGATCTTAGGCTCAAAATCTAGCTTTGATACACTCTTACATGGGAATAAAAACACATACCTAAATGATGCTTATGTCTTGATTAAACAGGTTTGATCCATTTCTTTTCTAGACATGTTCCTTTATCTGACAAAGCCCTGACCCCACCTGTAGCAAATTTAGGAAAAAAAAAAAAAAAAAGCCACAAGCTGCAACAGAAACAGTATCAAGTCACAAATAAAGATAATTAATTTACTTCAAATGACATTCATCACTTCCATTTACGAACAGTGCAGCTAAGAGATTGAGCACAATGCTACGTAGAGTGACTGCTTTTAGGACAACTAATCTTTTCAAGATCTTTTGAGAAATGGCTCTGTTACTGGAAATTATTTCATTTAGATAGGAAGAGCTTAATGAGTCATGTTCTGTTCAAGTTGAATTCTGGGCTGTGATTTTGTGAAATTCTTCCCATTACATGGAAGGTCAAATGAAAGCAACCCAAAAGCATCCCTATTGTCCTTACCATCCCCAATCTCCTGAAAGCCATTGTTTTGTCTTATTGCTAATTCCCAATGCATACATATTGCAGGTTTCTTTATGAGTATTCCAGAAGACATCCTGAATTTTCTGCTCAAATGCTTTTAAGAATAGGTAAAGGATACGAGGACCTACTGGATGAGTGCTGCAAAACTGGCTCTCCAGACAACTGCTGCAGCAGAGGGGTAAGTGCCTTCTATAATACATGGATGAATTCAGGCACACAACCACACAGCTTGTTCTGGCTAAGTAGTGCTTCTGTGGGTATCAGAGCTACTGGGGATGGGACAGGAAGAAACCTTCTCTTGGTGTGCATGTCTGATTTCTGGTATCCAGCCTCCTCCTCTCTCTGTGGATAATTTGCAAGAAGCTGCTGCTGATTCTATAATGATTTAACATGGATAGATAGAGATGCCAGTGGGAGGGATGGAGACAGCATTTCTGTGAGCCCCACTCTCTGTTAGGCTCCCCTGCAGCACCACTTGCCCACTTGAACATTGAAAAGGCCTTACTCAGGGAGGCACTGGCACAGGCTGCCCAGAGACCTGTGGGTGCCCCATTCCTGGAGGTGTTCAAAGCCAGGGTGGATGGGGGCCTTGGCAGCCTGATCTCGTGGGAGGCAACCAGCCCATGGCAGGGAATTGGAACTGGGTGGGCTTTAACGTCCCTTCCAAGCCAGTCTCAGATATAGACATCTGCATTGCATACGTCTGAAGCTCAGAGGAACTCTGTCTCAAACCTAGCCCTCCATTACTTATAGAAATAATATTTAAAGATGATTGAAGTGGACTTCTGTCACATTCAGGCAGTTTAGAGGTTTTAGACAGGTTTCTAATGAAGTTAAAACTTAGTGGTGCATTTCAGGTGAGAGGCAGCTATGGAGATCAAGGCCTCATCATAAGGCAATAGGACATTCTGCATTCCCACTGATAAAGTGATTCCTCAAATTAATTCTGTTTCCTCAGGAAGAAGAACTGAAGAAACACATTTATGAAACTGAAAGTGTGATGAAAACAAGCTGTGACATTTACAAGGAGAAAGGAGATTACTATTTCCAAAACGAGTATTTATCTTTTGTTTTTAAAACATTTTTCTGCTTACCTGATGCCTGTACCAGATGGGAACAATGTAGGCTAGAATTAATTCATAGATGAGAAAAAGGCTGGGCTAAAAGACATCATCTGAATGTTTGGTCCAATAAGTTGTAAGATTTTCTTTCCTTCTAACTTCCAAGACAAAGTTTTCTCCTCACCTGGCTCCTGAGGCAGTGAAATGACAACCTGTTCAATCTCTCATTCACTTTTGCTATGCATTGGTGTTTTTTGTTTTTGCTTTGCTTTATAACTGCATTTTGAGCTGTGAGATGTAACTTAAGAGTCATTAATTTGGCTAAAAGGCCATTTCTGCACCTTCTGCAAAAGACCTTTCTCTAATTCCATCAGCAAATGCAAATACTAACAACTGTAACAAAAAATAAACTACAGTAGACTGGCTTAGCTGTGTGCTGTGCTTCAATGCAACATGCAGGCACAAGTCTCCTGCAGGAATTCTGGCCTTGATTTGCAATGTTAATGAGCACATGCCTAACAAAGTATGTAAGTAATTTCAAATCTATAAACTGCTTGCATGAAATTAGGCTTCTGCTGTCTTTGTCGGGGGAGGAAGATAAAGAGAGCTTTTTGTACTCTTGGGCATGTTCGGTCTTTAAAAGACTTCTGGAACTAGAGGTTTCCAACAAATCCAGTATGCTACTTCTGCCTAGTGTACCAGTTTTTATGGCTCCCCCAGCCACCAGGACTAATAAGCACAGTTTTTAAGTAGGAAAAAAAAAAAAAACAACTTTTTGGAGCTTATCTCCTGCTGAGATCAGCTCTGCCAAGAAGTCACTCGAGTTCAGTTTTGCTTCTAAACAAGCTCCCTGCACTCCCAGGAAAGTGAACAAAGCAGGGAAAATATACATACCATTTCAAAAGAGAGCCTACCAAAATATAAACAGCAACATTAGCATTAATTTTATTTAGCCTGGTAGGAGACTGGTCAGAAAAAGGAGAGATCTCACAGGGAGCATGCTTATACTTGCCTACATGAGTCTGTAAACACCAGGCTGAGTTCTGCCTTAGTAGGAATGAGTGTTCTGCTGTGGGATTTGGCTGGAGCCTTACACAGTTGAAGGCAGCGGCTTGCTCACTGTTAGCTGCTTGAATGTAAGCACCAATATCAAAGAAATTATCATTTCAGGCTTCTCCTGAGCTTCACCAAGAAGATGCCTCAGCTAACATCTGCAGAGCTGATAAAATTCACCAAGCAAATGACTACAATTGGCTCCAAATGCTGCCAGTTAAGCCAGGACAAGCTATTGCCTTGTGCTGAGGAAAATGTAAGTTTGGTGGTTTTTTTGTTTCCTTACTAGTCTTAGTCCTATTTTTTTTCCTGAAGCTCTGTCAATTCCTACTACAAGCAAAGTCCAATAGTTTGGAGTACTAGCAAATGAGCAAAATGCTCAGTGAGGTATTAAGCTGCCCTGAAGAGGTACTTCCACATAAACACCTGCAGTAAGCATAACACTGTTACTGAAGTCAATGCTTGAATTACTCTCTGTGAGCATGCACTGCAAGCAATCCATTTAGCAGAACGAATTCAGGAAAAACATTCAGCAGAAAAAATCCCTTTTATCTTACAGACAAAGCTTAATTTAAATCTCAGTTATCATTTATAACTTTACTAAAAGCAGCATCTATATCAGGGATTTATTAAAATAAGGGAATAACATGAAATTGTGTTTTTTACCTCTTCCTGTAAAGCTGGATCTTGTGCTTGGAGAAATATGTAGAAGACACCTGACCAATCCGATAAACCCTGCTGTTTGCCACTGCTGTAGTAGCTCCTATGCTCTCAGGAGGCCATGCATGGGGAAACTAGAAATTGACGAGAATTATGTGCCTTTATCATTAACACCTGATCTGTTCACTTTCCACGAAGACTTGTGTACAACTGAAGAAGAAAAGTTACAGCACAAAAAACAGGAGTAAGGCTTTCTTTCACTCTAAGAGAGTTTCTTTCACTCTCTTACCCGTGTTCCTTATTTTTACCCTGGCAATGCTTACCTTTTCCTTGTCCACTGTACTTGTTTGCCTTCTATAAAATGCCTTGGAAAGCAGCCATGTCCAGCCTCAGCAGCGCACCTACCTAACTGCTTTTGTTTCTTCTTATCTTTGTCCTACTTTCTTTTGCAGTCTGGTTGAACCTGTATTTATCTGCCTTTAATTAGAAGAAAGTCATTTTTCAGAGGTGGGTAGCTGTACTGGTATGTACAGCACCAGATAGGAAGCAATAAGTGCCCAAAGTTAGTTCCTCACACTGTCCTCTACAGAGACTGTGAAAGTCCTATCATAAAAACATACCAGAAGAACAAGGAAGCTAATGCACGACCTTTATGGTTTAACTGAAGCTTGTCTCTCAGTGAGACAGCCTATGTATTTATCCAAAACCCAATCACTCCTTTGATCTCTGGATGCTTGTTCGCCTTTGTCAGAAACAATTGTCATGCTGGACCTCCCACTACAAGGAAAAACAAGTTATCTTGGATAACTCATGCTATATTAAACTTATATTATCTAGGACACTCTTGAGTGGTAACAACACAAATGATTTGTTTATGATTTGTTCAGGGATATTAGTGGTGGAACAACTTCAAAAACAAGCACTACTATTTTACTTCACAGGAGAATAGGGAGATGCTCCCCACTGCAAATACCTGCCTGTTTGTTTCATAAAGATGAAAAAAGCTATAGAAAGCAAGTGGATAATAAGAAAACAAAGATCTTACTGGACTAGTGATTGAGAAGTGCTTCTTAAGCTGCGTGCTCACCTTCCAGCTTCACAGGACTTTGCTTCCCTTGCAGAATGCTCATCAACCTCATCAAATACAAGCCCCAGATCACACAGGAGCAGTTGACTTCCATCACCGTGGCTTTTACTGCCATGAGGGAACAGTGCTGCAAGGAAGAGAATCGTGAGGCATGTTTTGTGAAAGAGGTATTTGTTCCACTTTCAACTGTATGTTCTTAATCAAAATGAAAGCACTTAAGTGCAAATTTCTCCATTAAGCAACAAAAAACAAAGTCTGTTTTTGCAATTTGCAACAATTCCTGTGGTTACTTTTCCAAAGATCTTTCTCTAGCTAACAGTACTTGACTGAATTTCCTTTTAAAACAAATTCCTTTGCAATAGGGAGGGAAGGAACATTCAAAATTTTGTCAAGGTATTTCCTGTACTTATTTCTCTACATCTGCTTTTCTCTCACCCTTCCTGTGTTATTTTAGCTTTTTGAACTTCATACTACAGAGCTTCTTAAATTTTTCTCTACCTTTGAGTACACTTGATTTTCCTTATTTCTCATCTCTCTCCAATGTATTCCTTAACTGAAGCTTAAGAAGCTTTCCATGACCCTTGAGAAATGTTCAGCTCTGCTTTACCCAGCCTATCTACAAAGAACCACACTACTAGCTCTTTATAATAAAACTACTTCAGTGTTTTTCCAACAAATACAAAACCAGCTAAGACCATCTGAGCTGAGCAGCGGCAGTATCATACATACATGTGTTTGTACACAACCCGCAAAGATATAAAACGTTAAGGAATTGACTTACTGATGTACACACATTATTTTTTTTGCAAGTACGTTATCTTAAAGAGTGGTCAGGTGCTGACACAAGCTGCATGACAGTGGGGTCACCGTCCCTGGAGGTGTTCAAGAAACATTTGAATGTTGTACTGAGGGACATGGTTCAGTGGGAAATGTTGGTGGACGGTTGGACTGGATGATCTTGGAGGTCTTTTCTGACCTTGGTGATTCTGTGATTCCACGATCCTTCTGATTTTATTGCTTATAGTTGTTTTGCTTCTTTCAGGGTCCAGAACTTATAAAAAGAAGTGAAAAACTGCTGTCAGCCTAAGGAGCTCATTTAGCATATTGGAAGATATTGGTTGAATGCTATGTAGTTGCACAAATTAAATACTAAGCGTACCTTTTCTAAATATTCATGAAGTATAAACAGGAGAATATGAGTTATCATAGTGGAGAATACTGTGCTGTGGTTCTTTACCTACAAACCCAATGAAGTCAGTACAATTTTCACCAGCTATAGTTCTGCCAATGCCTGATTTTTTTCCACCGTCAACAAGGTAAAGAGGTGCCTCCAGTAAAACATCACTTTCTGAGAAAAATCTGACAAGCTATGAAACTGTAAATGCAGTCTGCCTTCAGATCTGAGCCTAACAGAAATTTATATAAGTGTATGAATTTCATTCAGATGTGGGAGAAATTTCTGTGATAACTTAATGTGTAGCTCATATGCCCTTGATTCAAAAAGATCATGAACACGTAAAATTTAAACCAAAGCAAATAACTTAAACCCACTTGAATCCAAAAATAAGGTGCAACACAAAAGGTAACTGGATGGAAAATGAGGTTTTAAATGTGTCCATAATCTTATGCTACAGAACATTATTTTTCTTGTATGAAATGGTCATAGAAAAAGAAAAAAGTATTCTAATCTGGCTTCTTATGGATCATAAAGAAAAACAAGATTGAAAAAATCTGACCATAACAACTTTTAAAATATTTCTGAATCACCAAATATTTTTGGATATTTTAATAGAACTGTCTTTGAAATACAAAACATTCATTCACTAATAAGGGCTGCAGTAGGGAACAGTAAAATTGCCTTTAAGCACAGAAAGATTATCTTGGTCATCCCAAGCAGAACAAGGAAGAAGATAGATGAGCAAAATGTCATTAAGATGAAACGTGACACTTTTGGTCAGCAGACAAACACTTAGAGAAAGCATCAGAAGGCTGCAGAATTTAAAGTATATAATAAGAGACAATTTTTCAGAGTCAGATTGAAGAGGTTGACCAAATGAAGCCTTCTCATAATCCATCTTGTGTATATTGCCAGGCAACATTTTCATTAATGATATAGTGAAAGGAAAAACTATTCATTAAATGTGTGACAGACAGTGGACAGAGACTGTTGCAGATCTCACTGCAGCATTTCTGATGTCAAAATCATCTTGGCATATTACAGAAATAGCCTAGGAAAACACCAGCTGTGTTCTGTGAAAACAAATTAAACATTTGACATAAGTATAACTAAGCAACTGCAGTAGTACAGTACAGGAAAAATATTCATTACAGCGTTGAATGAAAAACAATGCAGTTAGAACAAATCACAAACTGATCAAGAGTCACTGATATTTTGCTGCTAAGTAAAGCCTAGCATCATGGTTGCATGCTGGTGGTACAAACACAATACTAACTGATAAAACAGAAGAACGAGATATATCAAATATGCATCACGGTTTTGTTTTTCTCACCTTTCATCAGGACTTTGCTGAAGTACTTGAACAAATCTGGGGTCTCAGTTGCAGACAGAATTTCACTGAAAAGAAAGCAACAATTAACAGTCAAAGTTACACTAAAAAAAAAAAAAAAAAAGGGAAAATGAGACTAGATTGGGGTTGTGCGGTTTAGTAAGAAAGGTTTTAAGAACATGTGAGTCTTCACCTGTTGAAAAAAGCAGGTCGCAGGACAAAGATAGCCAGTCAGCACCTAGCAGGAAAAACAAAGCACTGAAATCAATGGTCTGGGAACAGTCGGGAGCTTCAAAAGAGAGAGCACACACTACCCAAGATCCAGTGATGTTTTCATACAGAAAAATAAACGAAGAGATCATCAAAGAGATCATCAGCACAGTTTTTTCAGGATTTAATGTTCTAATGTACATCACTCTTCCAGAATCTGGGGGTTGGGTTTTGGCGGTGTTTTTGAAAAAAAAATTATCTTTCTTCCTCAAAGTCCAGTGATAACTTGGGGTTTTTCTCACTGGGTTGTTTAGTAGCAGCAAAATTATATAGTATTTTTTACTCTAGTATCTTCTTCATTATGTCTTAGGACTTGAATTTTTTTGTTCATCTTTGAATTTTTTCATTACTGCTACCTTGAGTTTGGAATAACACTTTGGAATAAAATCTTCCTCTGTTCTTGTCAGCATTTGTCAGAAACAGTTCATTTAAGCGACCGCAGTATTCACACAACTCACACCAGTGTAACAGAGCAGATTTATTTCACTAGTGCTTTAAATCCAGCAACCTACATTTGTATTTGTGCTAGGCTCCATTGTTAGTTTTCCAGTACCATTTAGTCCTAATTCAACAAGACAAGTGAATTCAATGGGATCCAAGTGTTTAACATCAGACGATGGCAAAAAATGACTCAATTTAGGAACACACAGGATTGGACAACCTGCTTTGCAAACACTTTTCCACATGCTCAGTGCACTGGCACTATCTTTCTTTTTAGTTTTTCAAATCTCAGACCAAAGAATTATGACTGTACCATGCTCCATTACTTTCATACTGCACATTCATACAACCACAAGCATTTACCAAGTGGAGCACAACAGAAATAGGCTACCTACACAAAAATACCTTAAATACATCTTTCTGGTTAAAACAATGAGAAGATGCAGCAAGGCAGCAAACAGCCCTTGCAGTTTTTTGAGTGCATGCTAGATTTTCTCCCTGCTCATAAGTTTGAGCTATCTGCATATTGTTCTGTGTTTCAGTTCCAATTTGCTCCTTAGAGTAATTTAGGCAGAACAAAGCAAGAAATACAATCCAATATGGGTCTGTTCCCATACTTTAGCATAGTTTCTAGTGTCTCAGTATGGCCAGCTGTTGCCAAAATATACCTGTCTGCAGCTGAACAAAAAATGACAGTGCTTGATTTGGTTCAAGCTGACAACATCTTGGCTTTGGACAAGAACAAGACATGACCATTCACTAACTACTTAAACTTCACTGAAATTTGACCTTACAAGCCCAACCTGTAATGTTTCATGGTGAGTTTCCTATCTCCTAAACACTTGGCTAATCAATATATGAATGGTTCACCTGTGAAATTTCAGTGACATTTGCATGCATCAATGAACTGACATTGGCACACCCAAGGCAACTGTTACAAATGCCATGCATCTTGCTTGACTACCGAATTGTTTTTATTTCTCCCCTCTGTGCTCCAATGCCCACAATAATTTCCTCTGTAAGATTATAATAGATTGCACATTAAAATAAGCACCTTCCCCAAGCAAAATAGTTTAATTAGCACAATGACTTCTCATTTTTTAGTTACCATCCAAGTAGTGTCACCTCACAGGGAGTACAGCTTTTCACACTTGATGTATTCCACGTGATTTCTAGATATTTTCTGTAACCAATTCCCTCCCTCTCAGCACATACATTCTATTATGTGCAGAAACCAAACACACTGCTGGTACAAAACACAGACATCACATTAAAAAGAAGGTACTACAGGAGGGCACTTAATTGTGCACATTTTATTTACATCTCTACAATTTGAATTTTACTATTCAGCGTGATTGAACCACATAGGATCTGATAGAGGAATGCTGTACACTGTGCAACTGTCAGACTGTCCAAAAACTGCATCTGCAGAAGGATGCCAACCCCATCCTGTAAGAGTTTTGATGTCAGCCTCTCACTAAACACTTCTCCTTTCCTTCTTCAAATAGGAAACAGAGAAAGTAACATGGAATAATATGTCTCAATGAAAACATGGGATGCCTTCTAGCACCCAGTCAAGCAAATGCCACAATACTTTGTGAGGATTCTTTGCAGCTTAAAATAAGTGCCAGAGATACTTTTGATCATACAGTTAAGAGCTGAGTAGCCATGAAGATGGTGGACTTTGAATTTACATTCTTCAAACTTTGACTCAAAGGTTATATGAGTTACTTACCTACAATTGGAAGCCACTGGGCTTTCAGGTCTCTCTTATGTAGGTATTTTTGTAAGCTATGTGAAATGCCTAACTGCAATCTTAGATACATAAATACCTTTTGCCACTTAACTCTACAGAAAAGCTTCCTCCTAATAAAATTTATCATTTTTTCTAACAGAAGGAAAGTCATATACTTTCTTTTCTTATTTTTGGCACGATTAGCACACTGGTTATTGCAACATTTTCCAGACTCTTGGTAATGGTTTGGAAATTAGAAGATTTTAAAGCCTTTGCTTTTCAGAACAGGACTTTTCCCAGTCTGAAGTTTCAAGTTAGATTCAGACTTTGTCTTTTGGATGATTTAGTCCATCTTCTTAGGTGGTCCCCAACTTGCATTCCAGAGCCATAGTGGAGTGTGTACAGTTTCAGTTGCATAATTGTTGAAAGAAGCACTTTGCACACCTTTGTGCTCTAAGTGCTCTTCAGTGATGGCACATTCAAGAAAACACAGACTTTCCTTTGCCAAAGGCAGTGGGTGGTAGTTGCAATATGCCAAATCACATCAAACAGTAGTCTCTGTTTTTTTAAAAGTTCGATTTTGAAGGTGCTGGCATATCACACGCTTCTCTTTAAGGTATCTGAGAGAAAGAGAGGGAAGGGAGGAGAGAGAAATAGTGTGTTTAATCACACAGAATCCTTTAGAAAACATTTTTAACCTGAACTTGAACATTCTAGTTGAATGGGTAAAAAAAGTTGCAGTGAAAGCCATTCTAACAGAAAATGGCAATAGCTTGTATTTATTTATTTTTTTTCCTCTGTTCCTGGCTATTTTTATTCAAAATGATTTGATGGACATTAGTTAGCAGATTCACAGCTAGTTTAGATTCACATTGGTTTCGACCTCATGGTTTCAGAGCCACTGGTGTGGCTTTAATCTCCAGCTGTTGTGAAAACTGAGCTACCATCAAAACCACTCATGCCATTTTTC